CAGTGTAAGAGTGTTCCTGTCTCTCCGCATCCTCACCAGCATTTGTTGTTTTGGGGTTTCTTGATATAGGCCATTCTGACTGGGGTTAGGTGGTATCTCATTGTGGTTTTGATTTGCATTTCTCTAATAATTAGAGAAGTTGAGCATTTTTTAAATATGTTTGCATGATTCTGTTGTTAAAATACTGTTTAGGTGCATCTCTTAAAAAAGAGCATCGAAAACGTTTAGATTGATTACAAGGATTAAGCCCAGCAGCACTGCCTGGCTGGAAGGAGGGTTTTTTTTGTGGCTGACTCTCAGACTGAGCCAGTCACCCAGAGGGCAGTGGGAACAACTTCTCAGCCACAGACTTGAAGTCTCAAAGGTGCACAAGAATTAGGTTCATATCAAAATAAAAGGTTCCTTAGGACCTAACCCCAGAGCTAACTTATTCCTATACTAGACAACACTGTAACAAGCTTGTGAATACTGCTTATCAGTCTTTGGTATAAAAAGAGTAACAAAATAGAGGTGCAGGTGGGTTATTCGATCTGTGTCAGGGACCCCAGCAAAAATGGGCAGTTAGGACATATGAGGGTGAAAAAAAATTATGTCTGTTCAAAAACTCTGGGATCGTTTTGTCTCCTCCACGCTACAGCTTCAAAAAGTACTTGCTGTGTAATTGCACCGGCCACTCATGCCCATGTTCTTAACCGGGGCCCAGGCATTTAAAAACGAGTCAATTATGTTCAGTATACTCATCTTAGAAAGGCAGTGGCGTGTCTAATACATTTTTTAAAAGATTTCAAGAAATGATTAAATTTTAAATGGTTTTGGAATTGGGGAGCTTCAAACTTCAGTGATATAAAAAATTTCGTGAAGATTAATAGGTCCTTCCCGAAGACGGTAGATTATTTACTTTCTCTAGGTTGTGTTAAAACTACATATTCTAGCAAAAGATGAAAAAACTCCTTAATCCCACAAACAGTGATATTTACTAATTTGGCTCATTTTGAAAAAGAAAAATATCTGTCTAGCGAGTATAACTTCCTACATTCCAACACAAAAGTCCCAGTTTCAAGAGAAGGAACAGCGCCAGACTCTGAAGGTCTCAGATAAAACCACAAGTGCACTCACTGTGGGAAGCATTACAGGGTCAGTGGCCTTGCTACTTTAGGCACTGCAAATATGTTGGCTCGAATTCAGCCTCACACTCTGTAATTAGAAAGCACATTGCCATTTTCAGTCTCCGGCTACCAGTAGGGACGCCACATATAGTCGGGCTCTGTTTTGCGAAGTCCTCACTGCAGCTTGCACTGCGATCTGTCATAGAAGACTTTATGGTGGGAGGTATATGCCTCTGTTGATCCTAAAAAGTAACAGTAGATAAAGACTGATGGTAACCTTCAACTAACTAGTTTTATTTCTTTAAAGAATATATCTTTTAATTACTGTATACAGGACATTTCAGTAAAAATAAAAACATACTAATAGATATTTTTAAACTATAAAATATGATAGACAATGATTCTTCGGTTAAGGTCAATGTGATCCCAGGGAGACCATTAAGAACATTTGGAAGGCTCGTGAGTCTGCTGAAATGATACGCCAAATTGTGTACATGTACATTTTTTTTTTCCAGGGAAAGAATCCAATGCTTTCATTCCAGTTTTAAAGTATCTGTGACACCTCCTTCCAATTTTTTTAAAAAGATCAAAACCAGTTTTCAGCTACAACAGAAATGTAAGAAAGTGTTTAGCATATGTCCCATCAATTTTTTTTTTTTTTTGAGACAGAGTCTCACTCTGTTGCCAGGGCTAGAGTGAGTGCCGTGTCATGAGCCTAGCTCACAGCAACCTCAAACTCCTGGGCTCAGGCAATCTTTCTGCCTCAGCCTCCCAAGTAGCTGGGACTACAGAGATGTGCCACCATGCCCGGCTAATTTTCCTATATATTTTTAGTTGGCCAATTAATTTCTTTCTATTTGTAGTAGAGACAGGATCTCAACTCTTGCTCAGGCTGGTTTTGAACTCCCAACCTCGAGCGATTCTCCCGCCTCGGCCTCCCAGAATGCTAGGATTACAGGCATGAGCCACCACGCCCGGCCTTGTCCCATCAATTTTTAAGGACAATAGAGCCCATATAACTCAGCATTTCTCTTTCTTCAACCCATCTTCTAGTTAAATATTACCCAGATGGCCTAGGACTTAAATTCAGTTTGATACAGTGGATAAGTTACAGACTTCTCAGATTCAGATCTTGACTAGCCCACCAACTAGCTAGATGAGCTCAGTGAAATTAGTTATGCTCTCAGAGCCTCAGTTTACTTATCTGAAAAATAGGAACTATCATAGTACCTATCTAACTGGGATAAAGAGAGAACCAAGGAGATCGTGCAAGCAAAGTACTTGTTAGCACAGTTCCACAACCTGACTTTGGCTTAAGTATTTTATCAGTGCTACTTTTGATGAGTTTTAATGAAACCCTTAAAAAATCCTTAATTTTGAATATCTACTTTTTTATAATACAAACGGTATGCTAGTGATCTTTTGTTGTAGTACAAATGATCACATTTTAACTCAACTTTTTCAATCCTTATTAATATTCAAACTTCAGACACTTGTAACACTTCCTATCTGAATTTATCATTTTGCTGAGAATTTTATATGAGCATTTATTTGCACATTGTGGTACTTTTTGTTTTGTTTCTAATGCTGTGACTAAAGGAGCAAATCTAAGCTGTTAATTAATGCACAATAAATCCGTTAAAATATTACGACCCTCTTTAGGCCATAATATGGAATCGAAAAAGGATTTTAATAAACATAAAAACCATTATTGGGTTTATATCTCAAGGAAATGCAAAGCATATATAAGGTTTTATGATCCATTTTTTTTCCTTAAAAGGATAAGAACACTAAGCAAATTAACAAATTTATTTGAAATGTTGCTCTTTTCTTCCACAGCTCTTGTAGTGAGATTTCTGACCAAACGGTTCATCTGGGAATATGACCCCACCCTCGGTAGGTCAAATTTTGTTTCCTTATCCTCTCCAATCAAAGTTTAGGGACCAAAAGAAATGACATTTTCTATTGCAATATTTTTAAGCCCCTTGCAGCTGTTTTGGAAGTGCTTTATATCACATCATGCTAAGAAGCCCTCCAAAGAGGCTAGATGTGTGTTTCGTGCTGTCTGTGCTCAAATCCTGCAGGATTTTAATGCATAGGTAAAGAGATTAGGTCAAACTGGAGGCAAGAAAGAAGTGGATACAATAGGATGCCCACCCAAACAAAAAAAACGCAACATCATTCTATCAGGAGAAAGAGGACAAAAATGGACATTACAGATTTGGGTGGGATAAAATGGCATGCTGAGAAGAATGTGACAGTAATATAAAACTTCTGAATACTGATTTTAGGAAAGTGTAAAAATAAACTGTGTTTCTCCCTCCCCCTGTTCTCTCCAATGCATCTGATCAACATCCATTAAAAAAAAAAGAAAAAAGAAAAAAAAATTTGATGTATGTGAGTCTTCAAAGTAGCACTAATACTGATGTATGAAATATGGAAAAAACTATTCCTGGATGGTTTTTTGGAGTTTTTGTTGTCATTGTTACATATGTTCAAAAGGGAACTTTCTTTCTCCCTCGTGCCTTCTTTTATTGTTTTTATGCATTCATTTGACAAACATTTATTAAATGCCTCCTATGTGTCAGATTGTTCTAGGTGCTAAGGATAGATCAGTGGGCAGAAAGGGAAAGCCTCGGCTTCTTCCCAGAGTACTGTCTAGCAAAGAGAGGAGTCAGGAAACAAATATGTCAGAGAGTGAGAAGTGCCATGAAGGGATCTTATAGTTTGCTTATTTCATAACTGAATTTTTAATCTATCTGGAACTTATTTTAGTGAGAAGTACAAGGTGAAGACCCAACATTTTTGTCCAAATAGTTGACCAATTTTCCTCCTACTATTAAATAGTCTCCACCTTTCCTCACGACCTCCAGTGCTGTCTTTTCATATGTTGAACCATTTACAACAATTCCAGATTTGCATTTCACAGCCAATACCAGTAGCATACTTTTGTGATAATTGTATGCTCTATAGAACATTTTGATGTGTAGTAGAGAAAATCTTTTGACAAAATTATCTTGGCTACTCTCTCCTATTTATTCTTTCAGGTCAATTTTAGAAACTCTGTCATAATATGACATGATTTTGATAAGAGTTGCACTAGAACTATAAATTACTGAAGATTCACATCTTTATTATAATATTCACCTTTTAAATCTAGGAGAATAGCATGTCTCCACATTTATTATTTATTCTTCTATGTTTTTGCTTTCAAATAAATCAGTTTTTTCTCATCAAAATATTTCAACATGTTTTTAAATATAGCCACACTAATTTTAAGGTGACATATTTGTATCTAAAAATGCAACTGATTTTTTAAAAAAAATCATTCTTGTTTCTCTCACAGAAGAATTAAGTACTTATTTATGTGAGAGAAACAATGATTTATAAATACTTAATTCTTCTCTTATATTTTTACTACTTATACAAACTTTACAGAGAATCTTAATGATTTATGGGAGTTAGGTAGGAAAATAACTAATTTTATGTATTGTTACACCCATACATTTCGATGAAAGATGAAGCTTATAAAAAATGATCTCATAAAATTTTTGAATTCTCTCTGAATGTGTTCCAGTAACTATTGGTATTATGTTTAATGAGTCTTAGTTGAACCATTTTTCCTTTCAATTTATTCATTCTGAAAAACAACTGTTATTAATCGAAATCCGGCTGCGTCAGTTATCTATAATGCAAGCTTCCTTCACTAAGAATAATGAAACTTTATTGAGTGACCTTGTACTGTATTGCTCAAAGAGGACTGCAGCTGCTAAGCAACAAGCACTTTCATCAGACTTCAGGAGTAACAGATAATATGACTCATTCCCAGGTGAGGGCTTCATTAACTCTCTCCCACTGGAGACTGGATGTGTGTGTGTGTGTGTGTGTGTGTGTGTGTGTGTGTGTGTGTGTGTGTGTGCGCGCGCGCGCATATGCTAGAAGTCACTGGTGTTCTAGCCTATGGGGGTTTCCAATCCATTTGATTCAAGCAAAATTAGCATTTCCTGGGCTTAAGTTTGTTGAATATGTTCCTCCTTTAACAAAAAGTTTCAAAACCATCACCAAAAGAGATAGATACTTTCAAAAAGCATTTACAAAAAGCAGTCTTGAATTCTGAATTCAGTACCTTCATCAGAAACATGGGACCTTTTTTTTCAACCTGGAAAAGATTTGTTGCTCCATGAGAAGCTGAAAATTATGGACACCATTCCACATATTAACAAAATTGGACTATTTACTGCATTGAAATAATTCTATGAAGAAAATTCTTCCCTCTCTAATAGCAGGTGATCTCCAGATTTTTAGATTTCAGGCCCACTGTTTCATCTGTTTTTTGGTTTTGTTTTACTTTTGTTTTTTTATAGAGAGGGACTACCTTCAGAATTCAATTAGGGATGCAAGCAACGGGCAGAAGATGACCTATACCAACATGCTACTTGCACTTGCATTTCATAAAAGAAGGGAATTGTTTTAACATCCAAATGCTTTTTGAAGGATATGGTCTAAGAGAGAAGTTCAACCCTTTACAATGAACAATTTTAGTTTCATTTAAAATTTTCTCATTTCACTTGGACCAATGAAATCTTTGTAAGCTGCTAGTCCTGGTCTATGGAGCACATTTGAAAACCACTATGGAAGCCCATACGATTTGGGACTTGGACCATCTAACCCAGAATACCCCCTGATGGTGGTGGCAGCAATGTTCTGGCTGTAGAACAAGAGGATCCATGTTCTGATGGGATCCAAACCAAGAACTGAAGCCCTACCTCTAAGAATCCTGTTATCCTATAAGAACACTGGTCATAGCAGAGAATACAGACAAAGACTTAGATTGTGTGTGATTGTGTGTATATGTGTGTGCCTGTGAGTGTGTGTCGTAGGTATTTGGAGAGGAGGAGAGAGCCCCTATCACTGCTACTACTGGTCCCTCAGAGGCACCAAGCACTGTGTTTGAAACTGCTTAGTAAAGCCTCAGGCAAGAGTGAGGGCAGGAGTCAGAGACACCAGACGCACGGGTGCTTTGATTCTGTGATGGTTTCTTCTTGCCTGCTTTCTTGCCTCTGCTTGGAAAGGCTCATACAAAGACAGAGAAACACCCAGAAAAAATTCTCTCAGCTGGATGCTAAACCAGAAGGGCTTAACCAACTCACAGAACTATTCAATGTAGGCACTGCAGGGAACTTGGAAATCATCATTGGACAAATAAGGAAGCAGGGCCAAAGAAGGAAATTTATCCAAGATTATATGGCCAGTTTGTGGTCAGACCAGCAATAGAGCATAAGTCAGTGCAATTTCCATTCTAGCATAAATCAACATTACTAACGGCTGTTGTTATTGTGCTGGCCCAAGTGTCCACACCAATGTGTTGAAACTTGGAAAAAAACTAAATTAGTGAAAGAGTTAACCACACACCATATCCCTTTCAGCATCAACTACACATATAATATACAAAAATATACTTCTATTTATTAAAATGTTACTGAAGGCAGGTTTTAAGGCATGTATCTCTCCTACACAGTGAAATTCAAATATAACTTTTAATACACCTAATTCCATTTTGAAACTAATATTTATCTTTCAGTATATAACATTTTGATTCATTTAGAAGTATTTCCCAGTCATGTCCCTACCCTTTACAAAAAGACCCAAATGATCATTTTCTGTCAGTATGAACAAAATCAAAAGTATTTGCCACCAATCAAACACATATGCAATTTCTTTTGTGTTTTAAAATGAATAGTAGAGTCTAATTCCAAAAAGCAACTAGTATATATTTTAGAATCAACTCTGGAAAAGCTAGCACATAGACGTGCAACATTTTGCCTCTGTGGGCAATATTTTCACTGTTTTACGTGTAGAGAAAATGGGTTCCTAATGAGAGAGAGAAAAGCTTAAAGAAAAAATGCTCCAAATGGCATGAAACCAGTATTCGGCTTAGATGAAATCACTGCTACCACCCGCTGCTGTGTCTGGGGCAGACATTCCATCATTTCCTGCATTTCATCCTTTTTGTTTCAGTTAACAAATAGGCAGAGAATCACACAACCTCATATAATTTTTATTATATTCCATCTCTCCCCTACTGTGGCCTTCTGTGGTTGAAATACATACCCTATTTATCATGGAAGCAACAGAGAAAAATGTCCCTGTCTCCCAGACAACTTTTGGTGCAAAGACATGGAATAGAGCCCAGAACTCTGTTTTCCAGGCTCCAGGGCTCATGCCAGTCTTCTTAAAAGGGAAGTCGGCACAAAAGACAATAAAGAACAGTAGGGGGAGAAACCAAAAGGGCGTGGATCTGTAGCATGTGTGATGCCATCTGTCTGTTCCTTGTCAAGCTGGGGCACTGAAGATGAAAAAAGGAAATCATTGAGAGAACACTTGGAGAACAAGCAGTTACTGTAAATGGTATCTTAGAGCATTAAATCATACATATAATCTCCCATTTAAAATAAAAGAGTGAGGGGATAGAATGTTCTAGGATTGAGAATCACTTTGCATACACCATGTATGCATTACGTGTTCTAGGAGAATGAAAATAACATAAAATACACTTATTAACACATATGGAACATAATCTCATATTTAACTTTTACTTTTTGGAAAATACTTGAGCAACATGCCTTGCCTGTGGTTCACATTAGAGGCAACTTAGGTGTTAATCACTGGGAAGATAAATGTGGCATGCTGAGGAATACTGTGTAGGAAACTAGAAGTATATACAGCAATATGCATGGGTCTTAAAAATACCACATTCAGTTGGTTAGAAATATAATAAATATATAGCACAACAAAATTTATATAAATTTAAAATATATATATACACAGAAAAGCACTTTTCTCATATATATATATATATAATATCTAGCAAATACTGCTTACTATATGAATAAGAATTGTTCCAAAAATTTTCCTTATGTTAACCATTCCTTTTAATCAGTTGTTCTCAAACTTTTTTGTGCATCACCTGGAGAGCATGTTAGAATGCAGACTGGTTTTTTGGGGGTTTTTTGAGACAGAGTCTCACTTTGTTGCTCAGGCTAGAGTGAGTGCCATGGCATCAGCCTAACTCACAGCAACCTCAAACTCCTGGGCTCAAGCGATCCTCCTGCCTCAGCCTCCCGAGTAGCTGGGACTACAGGCATGCGCCACCATGCCTGGCTAATTTTTTCTATATATATCTTTTTTTAGTTGGTCAATTAATTTCTTTCTATTTTTAGTAGAGACGGGGTCTTGCTCAGGCTGGTTTTGAACTCCTGACCTTGAGCAATCTGCCCACCTCGGCCTCCCAGAGTGCTAGGATTACAGGCGTGAGCCACCGCGCCCGGCCAAGACTATTAATAATCCTGAGGTGGAGCCTGAGAATTTGCATTTCTAACAAGGTCCTAGGTGATGGTGATGTTGCTGAAACCCAGTGCTGTGAGAACCTGGGCCAAGTTTTTCCTGGGGCGTATACCTGACAGGGCACTGCTGATCCTTAGGGTGCATACACGTTGAATACTATATGAATAGCAGGTTGCCTTCCAACATGCCACACCAGTCTACACTCCCATTGGCGGTTTGGAGAAACTCCCCATAATCTAGTCTGGCCTTATATTATCTGCCTTATTTTTGCCAATCTTTTGCTCATAAAATAATTTTACCAGCTTCCCTCTGGTAGTTCGCCAGGTAGAGCATCATTTTATACGTGTTTTAGCTATTAGGGCTTCCTCTTCGTGAATTTCCCTTTTCTATACTTTGCCCATGTTTCTTTTCTTTCCACTCATCTTTTTATTTTTAATTTCTAAAAGTTCCTTTATAGCTTCGATATTAATAACTTTTACTTTATGATATTGCAAATATGTTCTCCGGTATTTAGCTTAATTCCTATCACACAAAAAGTCTTCATTTTAATGTTGTCAACCCATTTATTTTTTAATCTCACTTTTTTGTGCGTGCATGAGGCTTTGTATTTTCTTACTTTTTATTTTTTTAACTTTAAGTTTTACTTTTTTAAATCTAGGTGGATTCACGTCTTTAATCCCTCTGGATTTCTTTATAACATAAACTGTAGGGGTCCCCCTTCGTTTCTTCTATTTAATAGTACATTTTCCCTTACTGGTTCTAAACCCAGTGCCATTGACTGAACAATTTATTCTTTCCCTAAGTAGTTTGTGGTGTCATGTCAGATACATGCCAAGTTCTGCATAAACGTGAATCTATTTTTAAGGCCTTGGTAAATTTTCCCATTCTGATATTAGTACCACACTATTTGGGGTAGTATTATATACTTTGCATTACGCCATTTTTAGCTAAGTTTGATGAGTTCCTCAAAAAGTCCAACTAGATTTTGAATTGTATTAAATTCAAGATTAATTTGGGGGGAAATTAACATCTTATAAAAATTATTGCTTATCCATTTTTCTTGGAAATTTTATTTATTCACATCTTTATGTTCTTTCATAAAGTTTTCTACTGGACACCTTTGCTCATTTTTTATTACTCCCTAATATTATTATTTATTTTACTGCTATTGGGAGTAGTTTCTTGTTTTCTCGTATACTTCCTAGGTGGCTTTTGCTACAAAGAAGGTGGCTAGTGATTCTGTATTGACTTTTAATTTCATAATCTTGATGATGTTTAAGTTCCTTTCCTATTCTTCCATCTCTTACTTATTTCTTCTATCTTATTGTATTGTTTGGAGTTTGAAATCCATGCTGGATTATATTTTTATATAGCATGTATTTTTCTTGTTTTTGAGTTTAAAGGCAATTTGCCTAAAATGTCTCCAATTATTAGATGTATACTATGGGGGTTTTGACATACAGCCTTTATCATATTAAGGAATCCCTTCTATTCTCAGTTTTCTAAACTTTTTTGAAAATCATAAATAGGTAGTAAGCTATACTAAAAATATTTTCACCATTTATAGAAGTAATCTGTACTTCTATAGATTTTTCCTCTCAGTTGATTAATGTGTTAAATTGAACCTATAGACTTTAAACACAATTTACATTTATGAAATAAACTACTTTATCATAATGTAGTTATAACACTGTTAGATTCAGTTGGACAATCTTTTATTTAAAATGTTTGAATCCATGTTTAAACATAAAATGAGCTTACAATTTTGTTTTTCTTTTTTTGCTTTCTTCTCATTACTCTTGTTGTACCACTTGTTTTTGGAGTCAGCATAATTTCCTATAAAACGAATTGGGCAGAAATACTTTTTTCTATTGTGTAGAACAACTTGTTTAATATTTGAAAGAAATCTTCTATAAAGCTACCTTGGTGCAGTTGCTTCTTATTGTGGGGAGAGATCTACAATTAGCATTCAAATTTATTTAATGGTTATTGATATAATCAAGTACTCTGGTTCTTGTTGCACCAGTCTGTGCATTTTTCTCCCAGAGTTATTTATCAGGGTTTGAAATTATTGATATAAATTCATAATATAATTTTATTTTTATTCCAGCAGAATGTGCAATTCCTTTTTTGTGCCATATTTTATTTAATTGCATCTTCTCTCTCTTAATTAACTAGTCAGTATTGTCAAATCTTTACCTCTCTGCCATCTTTTTTTTTATGTTTTCAAGCACCATGCTTTGATTTTGCTTTTTCATGATGTTTTTGTCTTTTATTTCCTTCCTTATATCTTCTTGAATTGATCTGTTTTTCCTCTTCTATTTATTGCATTGAAAACTTAGCTCACTTTCTCTGGTCTTTCTTTTATTTCATTATCTTCTAAAATAAGACAAATATTATCTTGTTTTCAATTTGACTGTTGGTATCAGAATAAGAATAATGGAGAAATCTAGGATGGATGCTGTATGTTAGTTCACTCAAACTTGCCTCTGGTCTTGTCTTTCACCTTCACACTGGTGTATTGGAATTATCTAGAATTGTAATTCTGGGTTGCTTTTGATGAGATTTTACACCATGGACATCATAAATTTGGTTTCACTGGTAACAAGTCCAATGTCAATGTCTTTTTGTAGGTGATGTGCTTTCTTTGCTCTAAATCCCATTAGATTTTTCTTTGTCATTGATAGCCTTAAATTTCACTGTAATAGGTTTAGATATGGGATGTTTTTCTTCATGTCTCCTATGAGTTCTTTTGATCATAAGTCTTTCAGTGTCTTTCATCTGAAGAAATTCTCAGTCATTACAATCTCAGATGTTTCCACTTCTCTGTATTTTATTCTCTCATCTGAGGCTCATTTTATAAAGAATAATAACATCTCTAGTTCTATTATCTATATGCCTTATTAAATTTTACTTTTGTAGTTTTTTTTTTCTGATAATTTACTGATACCTCTGGGAGAGTCCTCAACCTGCCCCTCATCAGCTCAGTCATTCATTCACTCAGTTCCTCACTTCAGTTGTTCTAGTTCTCACACAGAGCAACACCAGATGGCACTTATTTTTTGACCTCTGGTTTCCATTTTATGTAATGAGGGGCATAGTCAGGGTTCCTCAGTCTTCTTGCCCCTGCTCTCTTCTCATCACCACCATGTGGCCTGGGGACCCCTCTGCTACTGACCCTCCAACTTCCAGCTGGCACTGAGTAGCTGCCATTTTTATGCTTTGTGGAGGCCACAGGAATGAGCAGACTCTGCATGTTCCATCTCCCCTCCATGCTGCCCAGCCTTCCTCTGCTTTGGGTTACTGCTCCAAACACTGGGGTCCAACCACCTTTTACTGCCCCCAAGACTTTCTCATAGTTTCACATCGTTGGGTAAGATTCCTCCATCTCCCTAAAATGCCTATTACATTTCCAGGATGAAGGTTTGGAAGGGAATTAGTTGCTCCAGTTTGCATATTATCTTATTAGGAATAGTGATTTCCAGAAACTGAATTTTTAGGTGTATTGAGGCAGAATGCACCTTGGGGGAACTATTTTCTCATTTTGGATTGTGCAGGGCACATTTTAGAAAGAAAAGAACACCAGGTGGCTGGCCTCACAGGAAAATAAGATGGAGTCTTACAGGTAAAGGACAGAGGAGCAAAGAGGCAGAGAGATCTCCCCTATCCTATACTTTGAAAGTTGGTGGCTCCCAAATTAGAACTTGTTACTTACAGGAGTTCTATCAGTACAAAGATTCCACACTCTTGCCTATCCAACTTCTCTTTCCTAGACTACACCAAACCTTCTGCTACAAAAACAGAAATACTTCCCCTATGCCCAATTTCTAATTTTAAAGACCAACTTAAATCTTGTATTTATTTACCTTTTTGCCTTCTTTGCTCATTCCCTTAGAATCAACCTACCGACACCAAGCAACCATTGATGATGAAGCTGTTTCCATGGAGATACTAGATACTGCTGGTCAGGTAAATAAGAAGTTCAGCTAAAATAGTTTCTGGATCAAGTAAAAATGAGACGTACATAATATGAAAAAAATTGAGGCATTTTTCTTTCAACTTTTGCATGCCTAAAACCTTTTTTCTCTAATTACCTAGGCATTTTTATGTTAACATATTTGTAACAGTCTATGTATGCATTCTTATGCAAACTACCCAGTGCTTCAAAAGGGTTTTGAAAATTCTGCAGTATTCACGTATCATCTAGGTTAGACTCTCTCCCTTATATTTTGTGGTATAGTAAAATATTAATAGGTTTTCATGGTCAAATGCGATTTAAAATGCTTAAACAGGTATCTTTAGCAAAAGAATTCTCACAGCCTCTAATATGCTTCTGGGTAAGGTGAATCTTTAAGAGAGAGATGTATTGTTTGTTTTGGAATACTTTATTTCTGGAATCTCTCCTGTAATATTTGCTGTGTAAATTTGCTTTGAAGTCAGTCAGTTCTGAGATTGCAAGAGGGTCCATAGACAGGTTTAGTTTCCACATATAGAAATGACCACTGGAATGACAGTTAGGAAACCGAAGGTTTTCATGGTGCTTTATCAATGACCTGTGACCCCAAGAAGACTTGAATTATAGTGTGTAATCCAAGAAATATTCCTGTAATGAATGATACACTTTTCCATCACTCCCACCTCCTTATTCCCTGACCTTCATCGAGTACTACTTTTGAAGAGAGAGGCAACAGGGAAGTGTCAGCCTCCAGAAGTCATTTGAACCTGTGAAAGCGATGCTTTTTCAAATCCTACATGCTACCTTCCTATGAAGGAGTGAGCACTCCTTTGAGGATCACTTCAAATGAGTTGCTGTCTTTATTAATACTACCTAACATTTTTGAGGTATAGGGATACGAAAAAAAAAGCCAAAATCCTTAGCTTGAAGTTGGATTCTATACAGTTTGTCATTGTTTTTCTGTCCCTTGGGGCTGTCTATAATCTGAAGAAAGTGGAGATTAAAACAGACAAAGAAACCAAATAAATAAACCTACAAGGCATCTTGTTAAATTCTGGCTCTCATTCTGATACCTAAAAGGCAGGGTAAGTAAAGACTACTTGTCGGTTATCAATTTGTGAATTTCTTAATTTTGATGAAAAGTCAAAGGCGATATGCTCTATTCAGATTATAATTTCTTAATACTCCTTGTAATGACAGATTTAATGGTGTGGCAAGAAAAAGTTAAAGTCTATGAAATTAGAAAATTTTCAGTTCCCTGAAATACCTTGATATGTGTAATGCTTCTATTTCAAACTGAGAAAGTAAGCCAGTACAGGCAGACTACCAAGGCCTTCTGCCGATTTTGGATAGAAAGAACAGAAAGTAAGGGATTGCTACTGCTAGCATGAGCAGCGCCTATCCGTTGTGATTACTTCCGGGTCTCCTGACCGCCATTTTTTCTTTGCCAACAGGAAGACACCATTCAGAAGGAAGGACACATGCGGTGGGGGGAAGGCTTTGTGCTGGTCTATGACATTACCGACCGAGGGAGTTTTGAGGAAGTGCTGCCACTGAAGAACATCCTAGATGAGATCAAAAAGCCCAAAAATGTGACTCTCATCTTGGTTGGAAACAAAGCCGACTTGGACCACTCCAGACAAGTTAGTACAGAAGAAGGGGAGAAGCTGGCCACGGAATTGGCGTGTGCTTTCTACGAGTGTTCCGCCTGCACCGGGGAAGGGAATATCACAGAGATATTCTACGAGTTGTGCCGAGAGGTGCGTCGGAGGAGGATGGTGCAGGGCAAGACGAGGCGGCGCAGCTCCACCACGCACGTCAAGCAAGCCATTAACAAGATGCTCACCAAAATCAGTAGCTAGGCAGCCTGGTTTCTGCGCAGGCCCTGCTGAGATAGGCCAGGTGGTTGGAAACACTTTTTTGCCCTTTTTTTCCCTTTCCAAAATTAATACATTTCCTTCCTTGGTCTTGACTCTGGGAAATGTCTGGGCTTCCCATTGTTCTCAGCCTCCCCTATATTGGGAAGTTTTAGAGTGTTTTATGCAGTTTCAGTGCTGACAACTTCTCCCTTTCCTGCTTGAATAAGATATACTCTAATGTAGTTTGAACACGTAATCACAAGACATTCTGCAATGGCTGGGTTCATCTTAAGCTTAAATAGATTGAAGTCTTTTCAAAAGCATTTTAAAATTCAATTTCTTCTCAGCAACTACAAACGATTGTCTTAAGAATCTAAGATAGCAGAAAATTCACTAAAAAGTCGGGAAGAGTAGCTGAGCTCTTGGAACAGGGAATAGAACTCTAGTTCTCATTTGAAGTGAGGATTTTCTGAATTATCTTAAATCATCTAGTTTTTCTTTAACCTTTTATTTTGTTCTTAAGTTCAAGCATGTTCTCACTAAGGTTGTTCACTATAGCAGAGAGTTCATTTCAGTTTAAGTTGGTTCACCTCAATGATCTATTGCTCATTCCACCCTAATTTTTCTTCCTTGGTTCAAACAAGAATTTAATTATAACAGAGGCAGCAGGACACACAATTCAGATGCCACTAGGCCTTTTCTTATTAAGCCTGGGGTGCTGTAAAAATATTAGAAATCTTTTCACCAAACCCTGACTTTATTGAATGCAAGTAGAGGATTTAGAATTATAGATGTCTGATTCATTTCTCCCTCTGCTTATCACCTTAGCAGAGAAACAACAGTCCAAAACACAGGAAAAGTAAGAAAAGAGCTTAAATACCCCTCTATTGGAAAGCAAAGGCTTTGTGCCAGGCACAGTCAGAAAAATTACCCTCTGCTTCATTATAAGTTGGCCACATGACTTCTTTTAATATTTTGGATAAACTAACTCACTTAGGAGAATTCAGAAAAAAAGTGGTGATTAAAGGTCATTATACCTGAGTAAATGTGTATAAAACAGATTCTTGTATTGTGAAAGTACAGTCTGTAACTGATAAAACTTTATGATTTTTTTTTCTCCCTATGAAGCCCCCATATATCAAGATTTGGGCACTTTATTTTAGTAGAAAATATGTATCTTTTACATATGTATGTATTTATAAATGCATAGATATATGTATAAAAATTTGTAAAAGTTGGAGGCTTTAATTCACCAGTGCATTTGGACAACTTGGTGTAACTGACTTTATTTTCTGTGACTATAATAAAAAGCATAGTTTTTTCATTCTGTCACATTTGGGCAGTCTTTCTTGTGATTACATGAAAAGTTGATCATTTGAGGAGAGACTTGAGGGGACAATTGAATTGCAGGCATGAAGGAAGAATCAGTGAACTGATATGAAAAATTAGCTCCTGTTGATAATAATTGCTGCTATTTTGAGAGTGCTTAGGTGCTATTTTATGCACTTTATGTATTATCTCATCAAATCTTCACACTAACTCTATATAAGAGTAGTGCTATGATCATAATCTTAGAGATGAAGATACTGAAGGGGGGAAGTAGGTTAGCTAAGTTTGCACAACTATTTAGAGGGTAGAACCAGGATTTGAACCCTAAGAGTCAAAGAGTCAGACTCTAGATCCCAGATTATTATCCACTGAATAGTTCTTCTCCTTGAGCTGTAGGGATGAAGACATCAAAGCAGATAATTTAGCAAAGATTTGCTTCATTTATGCTCTTATCCACTCATTACAGATATATATATATATATATATATATATATCACACAACTTGATATAAGTTAGTCCATTTGATAGTGTCCGACCTGAGCCTCCAAGAATATATGAGAGCTATCTAAGAAAGAAAGGGTAAAAATACTCTAGGCAAAGGAAATAGCAGGGAACAAAAATTTAGAGACATGAAAGGTGATAGTGAGTGTGGTAACTGAAAGTAACTTCAAGAGCCACATGTATCGTTTTTAGAGGGAAAAGGGAAGGATAACAGAAGGGAAGAATCAAAAGAAAGAAAAAGAATATAGGGGAAGAAGGTAAGAAAAATAGCAAAAATTCATATTCCTGTAAGGAGCTTCCTATTAAATGACCAAGTCTATAAATGTAGCTGTGACTCATTTTTAGTAATGCCCAATAAGACATTGTAAGGGAAATAGAAGAAGAGAAAAATTGTTTTTGAAACTTTGTTATCTTCTAGAATAAGAGTCTTTTTCATTCTCTCATATCTGTGCTTGGAAATATAGTTCAGCCAGTTCCTATTAAAAGCAAGCTGTTAAGAAGACATAGTGAAATACATGGGTGTTATTCTTTAGTTAAAAACTATAGAAGTTAAATCCACAGTCTCCAATACCAGCAACTATCCTAGACATATGAATACAAATCCAGGCCTGTTAAATATTAAAGAACCACTGACATAAGTTCCAGCTGGTAATTACAGAAGAACATGAGATTTCACAAATATAAATTAGTTATTTCTCTCATGCCTCAGGCTTCTTCACAAATGAAGGTTATAAACAAGTTAATACTACTTGTTTAGAAGCTGAGTTTCATTTTTATGAATGCCAATGAAGCAAGATTTATTTTGTGAAGAGTAGGGATAGGGTTTTATTTTTAGTGTTAAAAACATGTCATTCATCTGGCCATGATATAATGATGGGGACCGGATTTACTCTTACATAGCAAACAAGAAGCAAGCAGACAAATTATATGGAACTGTGATTTTCCGACATTGAATACGAAGCAATGTTGTACTATGATCCCTGAGGAAATGGGAAAGAAATGATAAACCCCAAAACCATATGGAAGTACCAGCTTACTGCCAAGTGGCAGGTTCCAAGAAGCAATACAAGGAAATACCCAAACAGAGCCTGGTGGTTTCATTGAGTTGAAGATACAAAAATCAGACTTTGGGGAGGCCAAATTGATAAGAATCCATGGGACAGAATGCCTGGAAAAAGAGAACTTCACAGAGAGAAAGCTCCAGAGATCTGCAGAAGTCTTTGCCTGAGTATAGATCAGTACGTGGTGACAGGAAACTACCCA